ATATATATATATATATATATATATATATATATATATCTCTTAGCAGGGCTGATTCTTTTTCTTATAAGTTTGTCTATAAAATGTCAAGAAATATTGAAAATGACTCAATTTGATATAGTATTATCAGTTACATATCAAATAGGAAAAACTAGAGCCAGATAAGGTTTGGCATTTCTGGATAACAAATGACTTCAACGATTAATTAGTTATCAATATTGATGATTCACACTTCTTAAATATAAACATTTAATACTGTTTTATAATAGTCAGCTGACTAGGACCATTGGTTGGACAAAACAACTCAACTTGGGCTCTGGGAAATTGTGATTTTCCACAATTCCACTACTGATTACTTAATAAAATAGTGATTAGTTGCAGCTCCAGCTAAAAGACCAAGAGTAAAGTTTGAGCTTGTTGGCATCCATCTACTTCCTGTTAGACACCTGAACCAGGCCACTGACTTTATCCTAAATAACACACAGAAACAGCAGAAGAGCAACCTCCTTCCACAGACTGTAAAGTGCAAACAGTGCAGATCCTTTAAGCTAGTAGAGAAACATATTATGGACCAATACAGTGACAGTCGTCTCCTCTTCCATGATAGACGCTCACAAAGAGAGAGAGTGATATCTGAAACGATAAGATGACAAATCGCAGCAGCTGGACTCCTCTGCTGCATGTTTCTGGACACTATGAGTGCATGTTTACACTCACAAAGTATTTTACACTGGTATGACTACACCACAATTTAAATAAACGTTGTTTGAAAAGAGCAGGCTGGATAACAAACATTTCAGATAAGTTTTGGTGCGATCTGTTTCTGCCACCAGCTAACTTGCTAAAGCTAAGTTTAGGTCCCATCAGCATCCAGGCTGGCTAGCCATTAGCCACCAAAGTAGCCGGCTAACTAGCTTGTTTTTCGGGTCAAAATGTTTGACGCACTTGTACCTTCTGTGGCGGAGCCCTCCGGTGATGTTTTGGCCTCAGCTCTGGAGACAAGGCATCCCAAAAGGAAGAGTACAACAGCAGCGGCTCGTCTCCAGCACACCGCCCGCATCATTGCAGATGTGAGTATCAACGGTTAAAAAAAAACACAAAAAATAAAAGTAGAAGACAAAAATCTTTTGCTTTTACAAACTCACTGACGGGCCACATCAGCGTACACTGGGTTTATTCCGCAAAAGGGGGCGACACTCCATGTTTAGCGGCATCAGCAGTCCTGTTTCCTCGCCTGTAACGCCGTGTTTCCTTCGTGCATCCCTCGGCCCTTGTGCTGCTCGGTCGGGTTTTTTTTATTTTTTTTTATTGACTGGTCAGAGAGGAAGACGACGGCCCCTTTCCTCTGAACCACATGCCCGAGAACAGCACCAACAGGCGGCTTCTTCCACTAACATCTGCGGACCTCCAGCGCCATCTGCCGGCCGTATGAGGGAAAGCTTCTTACAGCATTATATTGCAAAGTCATTTTTTCTCTTAGTACCAAATTACATTCTCCTAATTTTGGGCTCAAAATTATGGAGCCCAAACCTGACATGTAGTCAAATAACTAAAATGAAGAATGAAGAATAATTATAAAGATTATATATATATTTTGTTTTTTGATAAAATCAATTAAAACTTTATTATTTCACTAATTATATCCATTCACGCTCAATTTAATCGTTTAATAAATAATAATATTTATTGATGTATTCAGTTTTATTTTTTGATTTTTCTGATAATCTTTTATTAAAATATATATATATATATATATATATATATATATATATATATATATATATATATATATATTCACAACAGAGCACAAAATGCCATTTTCCTGATTTTAGGCTCAAAATTAAAAACTAACTTCCATAAAAAATTAATAACAAAATACAAAAGGTTATAAGACCAAATCCAAAGTCCAAAATACATCTAAATGCATCAATTCATAATATTTATTTTAAATCTAATGGAGTGTAACAAAGAAAAACAAAGCTTTATTATCATTTGTTTAAAAAACAAACTAGCTAAAAGGTAGGATTTTTTTTTTGTCGTTACCACTAAACGGTGCATAGAATATACTACTTTTTTACATTTACTCTTATTTTTTATTTTTCACCAGGTTATTTCATTTTTTTGTATTTATAATATGACTTATGGTGTATTCAGTATTTGTTATAACCAGTATTTAATTTGTCATGTATTAAAATACACACAAGTTTCCATCATGTGCTTTTCAAACTACAGGATACAAAACACTAATACTGATCATGTTCCTTTACAAATTGAATGTAAAGCATTGCACTTCCACACAGGTGTTTTCAATCACCTTGTTGATTAGACTTCTACTTAGGTGGAAGTTGGGTGGAGCTATTTTGAATTACATGAGACGCAAATCAGAACATTTAAGTGAAAACACCTGTGTGGGTGTAGGCTACGATGGGGCTCTTATTTCATTCAGATCATCAGCGTTTCAAATCACAGGGCTTCAAGTCAGAAGAAGTTATGTTTTTAAGTTCTTAAATGGTTCTGAAAGTGAAAACTACAAAGCTGAATTTTCTTGAAATTAATCAAACTTGTGTGTTAATAATAAAAGATTAATTCCACCAAATGTCTGTGATGTTTTATAGTTTGCCACCTCTTAACCTTCCCAACACATTTACAAGAACCTTAACATCTATAAATGAGGAGTCTGGTTTCAAGCGTGTTGACAACAATAATAAATTAGTCACAAATATGAAGTAGAAACACTCAAACATCTGGTTTAAATGCCCTCGCCCCGTGCTTCTTCTCACTCTGCACATGAAGTGTTTTAATTATTAGTTCCCTTCTGTTGTTGAACCCGAAAGTCTTGTGACATTCATGTGTTTGAAGCGCCAACAGGCAGCCTGCTCCTCATCTACGGACCTCCAACGCCACCTGCAGCTCAACACGAGGAATTCCTTACATTTGCTCACGAAAAAAGAAAACTGCCAGGGAGAAGTATGAAATCATGTTGAATGTTTTTATTTAAATTGCTCGGCAGGTTGAATTATGTACCTTTTCAATATTAATTTAAGGAAACAAACCGCTTGGATAAAATTCTTATTTCTTGTAAAAAAGAAACATGAAATTTGGACCCATTTTTTGTGCTTATCACTTTGACCCTCCTGTCTTTTTTTATCTTTCAGAGTTGTCTTATTTGTTTGTTTGTTTTTTTACTTATTTTACTTTGACTCCAATAAGAAAAAAACTCCTATGTATGGCACACATGAGTAAACCAACCACAACTAACCACCACTTCTCCTAATAACTGCAGATGTTCTTTGAGAAAACAATACAACCATATTGACACCATACATCTTTGCTTCACAAAATTGTACACACTTTTTTTAGATTTCTCATTATTAGTTTTTTCTATTGAGATATACTAGTTTAATTAACTTCTGGTCTCTAAAAGCTATTCAAATGAATAAATCACTGCTCATAACATACGCAGTATATATGCAATCTATGATGAAGGAGTGTGAGTACATTTTACTTCACAAGCCAGAAAGGTTGGTAATCACTGCAGTAGATTCAAAACAAATATCTGCACTGCTTATGTCTTTTCACAACCGCTGCCACATTTCCTACTAAACAGGTTAGACTGGTTGTTTCCACTAATATTAACATAAAAAGGAAGTCTAACAACAGTCACGAGTTTCCTTGTTTTGCATACGATCTGTTCCTGTGATTACATATGAAGTGCAGCTTGGCAACAGATAAAAGTATTTTTCCAGACTAAGAGACTCCACCAATGAAGACCTGCGGCTCAGACATGAAGCGCTCGGCTCTCATAATCCTGATGATCAACAGTTTCTGTGCCTTTTCGCAAAGTAAGAAAGAGTTTCACATTTAATACGTGGTTCTAGTAACATGCTACTTATGGAAACCGAGACAGGATCACATAGAAGTCTCTTGCTGTAGATATTTGTCATTAAATGTTTATACAAATACATGTATAATGTTCCGTATTTCTATTGTTTTCAGTTCCCCATGAAGTTCTCTATATTGTGGGCTGCTTTGACAATGGGACAGCTGAAGCGCAGTTTGAGGTGGATGCAGAGGAGCTTTTATACGTGGATTTTGACCGAAAGGAGGTTGTTTACAGTATTCCCAGATTTTTTATTGACGACCCAAGCAAAATGTTTGAGAATTTGAATGTATTTAGAAATGCTAAGAAAAACAGGAACACATGTACAGCAGTTCTTGCAATCTACAAAGCGGAGGAGAAAAATCCACCAGAAGAAATGGGTAAGCTAACCTCAACATTTCTCTCTGTAATGTGATTGACAAAAAGCTGATGACGGTTTTAATTGTCTTTTGACCCACTAAAGACCCCCCTGAGAGCATCCTCTACCCTTCAGAAGAAGTTCAGTGGGGAGTTGAAAACATCCTCACCTGCTTTGTGAATCATTTCTACCCACCTGAGATCAAAGTCAGCTGGACCAGAAACGGCCGTCTGGTGTCCGAGGGGGTGTCACTCAGTCGCTATTATCCCAATAATGATCAAACCTTCCACCAGTTCACAACCCTGACATTCACACCAAAGGAGGGAGACATTTACAGCTGCACTGTTGAACACTTAGCTTTGGACAGGCCGCAAACAAAGATCTGGGGTAATTGTTTTCATCTAGAGAAGCCACTAAAATATCAAAGTATGACAATGATTTGTTGTAAAATCCTTTTTTTGCATCTGCAATGATACATATAATCTTACCTTTCTCCACAGAACCTGACTTCAGTCATCCCAGTCTTGGACTAGATGTTTTCTGTGGAGTGGGCCTGTCTCTGGGCTTGTTGGGAGTTGCAGTTGGAACATTTTTAATAGTTAAGGGACACCATGGACATTGATTTCTCTGTTTTAGAAAGATTATACACATGGAAGTGATGATGGTGCACATGCATTTTACAACAACAATTTTGGAGTGCACCGTTTATCATCTTTTAAACTGTGATTTGTCTTTGAGAGAGGTTTGAATATCAGGCCTGCTGTGGCCCATTGAAGAATGAACTAAATGAAGATTAAATGGAGTTTACATGTGAAAGATATACACTGTTCAAACACATATTTCCTCTACACACATGTGGACACACTCTAATACACTGTACATATGCTAGAATATATTTTACTTTTTTAGAGGGAAAATGTAACTTTTTAAGGAATAAATAACACATTCTTTGTCTTTAGAGTTAAATGCTGAATTCATAAGCAATAAAACACACCTCTACTCCACTATGTACATTCAGGGATTTTGCTGCTTCAGCCTCACTTGGTCTGGTATGACCAGTAGCTTCTGGTAGCTAATGCTAGCTAACAGCATACTAAAAATTGATCAATATTGTATGATTGACATTATTAAATGTCAGGAAGAGCTTTGGATTTACACATTGGTCCTTAAAATCTTAATAAACTATTGATTCAACTTCTTTGTGATTCATTTATTGGCATTTTTGTTTCCCTTGATATTACAGTGTCGTTGATTTAAACATTACCGTGTAACATGCTGTCTGTTGGCTCACTGTTATCTGTAACTTAGATTTACATTTTATTGAGGTTTCAATTTTACACTAACTTATTTTGTACATAAAATAACCCTAATTTAATCAGGTAATCATTCTCAAGATCTCTTTTGAAAGAGCGCCTGAGATAATAGGATGTGAGGTGATGTAATGAAGCTGATTTTGCAGGAGACCTTTATAAATACAAATGACAGAATGTAGTTCACTTCTTGTTGCTCGTGAGGACCAGCTTATTTTTTCAAATGTAGTGCATAGTGATGAGGACAATATGTATCTCCTGTAATGAAACACAATGCACGATGATAAACTGCATCTATAGTTGTTTAAGATATGAGAATATATACAACAGACATTGTGGTTGACTGTAATCATTTTCTTGTCCTTAAGTAAAAAGCGGTGATGAAAATAAACTAAGTTCACTTTCTTTAAGAATTATACTTAAGTATAACTTCGAGGTGCTACATTTCAGAGGGAAATATTGTACTTGTTACTCCACTATAATGGGGCAGCGTTGGTTACTGTTTACAGATTAAATTTAACTTATAAAACTGTATTTAAGGTTCTTTAATCTAAACTTCTCCACCAGCTACACAATCAAAATGTCCTATCATTTAAATAATTATTTCTGATAAGTAAAGATAAGATTTGTTCTCAAGTAACATCTTACATGGAGATCTTTCACTTGTCATGCATTTTGTATTGTAGCATTATCTGCACGTCAGATATAGGTTAGATATTTGATTGTGCTGTGTGATGCATTATCCATAAATGTAATGCAGTTAACCACTAAAGGTGCTGTTAGAATCAGAATCAGAAACCGTTTATTGCCAATGTATGTTGCACATACAAGGAATTTGTCGTGGCTTGTGGTGCATAACATTAAACAATCAACACAGTGCGAGAGATAGAAATATATTAAAATTTACAATAGAATATAAAAGAATATAAAATAAAGTGCACAACAAACAGATAAAAGTTGGAAGTAAGTCTGCTGGAGTTGTTCCCCTGATGTTTATGAGCTCATCTCTGGTGAAAGAGCTCCGGGTATCGCAGCAGAAAACAGTATTTACAACAGAAACAACACAAAACAATGAGCACCAACACACCGAGGCTGCCGTCCGCGGCCCCATCTTGCTTTAATTCAAGATTAAATACAAATGAGTCAGTTCAGCCACCAATGCTGACATCAAATTATGAATTACTTCAATAATTCAGATGAAATTGAAAAAAATAAAGGTGAATGATTGGAGGTGTCAGATTACTAAAATCACTTGTTGCCACACCTGTTTACACAAATGTTGCTGAGCACTGTCCTGTTTTACTTCCTCATGTTTCCAGTGCGAGATAAATTCACTTCCTCTAATGTTTCTCAGAAGTAACCATGCATGTTCACAGCTTCTTTTCATTGCTGTTTCTTCTACTTTCATGTTCCAGAGCTGGTAAGTAACCTAACACTAAAATAGAAGCTGTCATTGTTTATTTGTGTTGCTGTTCATAACAGCACACTGACAAGATAGACAGAGCAAAACAGTTGCTACAAGATCAATAAAAAAGCTGCTACATATCAACGTGTGTGAATCGGACATGAACAAGAACAAGCTACTTTCTAAATGATCTAATACTTGTTGGCTTTATGTTACAGATGCTCTTTTTGGTCATTTTTTGGTTCGCTGCCAGTTTACTTCGTTAGAGGACGTTGTTTATGTGGAGCAGTACTGCATCAACAAGTTACTTCTGATCCAATACAACAGCACTTTGGGAAATTTTACCGGCTACACAAAGAGAGCAAGAGATATTGCAGATGGCCTGAACAAAAGCCCTGATTTAATGAAACAAAGAAAAAAGAATGAGAAGAAATGCAAATCCCAGATACCATTCGTATTGGATCTCCATTCAAAACCAGGTGACTTTGTGTTTTGAAACTGATAAAGCTTTCGATTACAGCCTGCAAATTACGGTGTAGTTATTTAGTATATATGTGGTATCAATAAAATACTTACTGGGGACCTACAGCAGGACAAATACAAGTTAAGAATTCATGGAATAAGGGGTTAACAACTTTGAGTCTAAGAGGAAGAAATAAACTAGTAAGTGCATGCAAGTATCTTCTAAATTACTGCATACCTATTTAATAATTAAGGGATAAAGTAACAGTATTGATGTATATTGGACAAATGACTGTACAAGGAATAGTTCATCATATTCATGTTTTTACCAACTTTCTTTAAAAAGCATTCAGGAATAATTTCAGCTCCCCAGCGCGGGTCGTCCCTGGCTTACTCGGCCGTCTGGGTGCCCACAGCAGGCCTGGGTGTACAACCAAATCTAACGTTAGCTGTCTGACTAGCTTCCTCCTTCCCTTTCCACTTCCTTCCCTACCCGAGTATGTAGGAGTATACCATAGTGGGGGAACACTCATGTGATTGGTTGAAAATGAAGGAGACATCTGATGGGCTATAGATCATTCCTTGTTGAAAAACATGCATTTGTGAACTGGGTGTTATCAGGGGTGTCTCAAAAAAAAAACACAAATTCAGTGAAATCATTTGAAAACAATGCTGAAATGCCCGTGTGGACGTGGATCGTTTTTGTTTTCAAAACCCCGGATTTAAACATAAATGTCAGAGTGTGGATGTAGCCTTAGTCTCTCTCCTCCACAACGGAACCATAGCGGCTATCCTCCCTAGGAGGAACGCACAGGCCTTTTTCTTCTGCCTCCTATTGATACCCATGAAGTATTTAATTGGAATACCATATGAACAAAATATTTACACAGTAATTTGTGGGTGTTCTCTTAAGTATTACCCAAACTCTCAACATTATTAGTGCCGTATAAGTGACAGTTATGCTCTTTCATGCCAACTTGTTTGTCTGTGGGTTTTTTCACCAAGTGGAGCCCTCCGTCAGGCTGAGGTCAGTTGAGGCAGCAGGCAGCAAACATCCAGGCATGCTGGTCTGCAGTGCGTACGGCTTTTATCCCAAACAAATCAGAGTGACTTGGCTGAGGAACGGAAATATTGTGACATCTGATGTGACGTCCACTGAAGAACTGCCCAATGGGAATTGGCTCTACCAGATACACTCATATCTGGAATTTACACCCAGACCTGGAGAGAAGATCACCTGTAGAGTGGAGCATGCCAGCCTCACGGGGCCCAAGCTTTATGAGTGGGGTAAGAGAGTGACAGGAGGTGTTCTTAACAGAGATCTCTTCGTTTGAATAGCGTTACGGTAGATGACTTCAAATAATTATTAATGTTCAGTACGGAAATCTAATTTAATGTTTGTGAAAATTTGTGTTTTCAGACCCAGCAAACGAGTCACAGAGGAACAAAATCGCTGTCGGGACAGCAGGGCTGCTGCTGGGTCTGGTGTTTTTAGTTGCTGGGCTGATTTACTACAAGAAGAAGAACAACGCTGGTGAGAGAAAAGATCAAATTAACCAAAAGATTATTGGAATCAAATTCTTTAGACCTACAGTGTTAGCAGCTGAGGCAAAGAGACTGTAGAGGTAAATAGGCCTTATTAAGACTAAAGACATAAACAGACCATTCTGCTTTTGATGCCACTGTAACATTGCATCACTGTTGTCTAAAGTGAAACTCATAGACATCCCTGCATTGATGCATTTCTGTCAGAAAAGATTCATAATTTCTTCATCTTTTAAATCATAGAGCATGAAAGTCAACATCAATAGTATTTATTTGTGCAAAATCCATCAGAGTTCATGTAGAGCTTCTAGTTTTCAACACGTCTCAACACCAAATTATTATGACTCAAAATCAACTATGTGTGACTTTCTTTTTCTTTTTCTTATTCTAGGCCGAGTGTTGGTGCCAACAGGTTAAGGCAGCCTGCCCCGTTGGCTGAAACGTATGTAATACAAGACAAAATGTAAAATGATCCGACCCTGGAAATCTCACCAAAATGGCAGAGGATGGAATAAATAAGAAGGCGTGGAGTCACTTCATTTGAACTGTACACATTATTATAGTTTAAAAGACCTTATTTTTTCGATGAAATGGTTTGACTATACCTGTAATATTTTGATGTTCACATTATCAACGACGGGAATGGCTGTTTCATTTTGGATTAAGTTAATTAAAAATGTATACACAGCGCTATGGTTCTGTCTACTACAAATGTAAGGTGTCACATGATCTGACATACTAGATTTACTGGATATACGTATATCAGTCATAATATATCAAACACACACTTCTGACCAATGTCACCCTGTTAGTATTCGTCAACTCAAGTACAAAGATAAAACTGCAGGTTCCAGATACGCTAAAGTCCAACAGAATATTTTTTGTCTGCTACATCATATCTACTGTGTAAATCTTGTCTTGTGTTTTTCCTTTTGAGTAAAAGGTTGTAAAAATACAGCCAAACTGGATAATGAATTAAACTGTTTCGTACAGGATTTAATAAAATGGACAACTGAAGACAAGGAATGATATTTGATACATAATATAAACAAGGAAAAAAAGATTCTGTAGTTGTAGCACTCATGCTACAACTACAGGAGCTTTGCTTATCTGTGTGCTGATGAACTTCCTCATGCAGAATCAACAAACAAGCATTTATCTTTTGACATGTTTTTCCTTATCTTTCTTATCGGGTTGAGGTTGTCATTGAAAGAAGTACAAAGACAAAGACATCTGCCTCAATAATCTGCCTTACTGGTTTTAAATACAAAGCAGACACCTGAAGTCAGAGCGGCCTGTGGAGATTTGTACGAGGACTCTTATAAAATCCAATCTCTATGCAGACAAATCATTAAATGAGTTACCTTCCTCATGTTTATTTTGCATGGAAGTAGGTCAGGCTTGTGGGCAATACAAACCTCAGTCATGGCTGTTAGCCCTCAACAAGGCTGAACAGATTGGACACATTAACCTTGTTTACTACTCACACCACATATAGAGAGGGAAAGGGATTGTGGGTAGGAATCAGAAAACAAAAAAAGGAACGAAAAGAAACAAAAAGTGACTTGACACATGCTGCATGGGTTGTCTTCTGCTAGGTCACACTACAGGGGACAGACTGGTTTTCTTGATGCTCAGTCAAGTTCCCGTCCTTATTGTGTTCGTGTAATGTGGTTTGTGGAAGCTCTTTTGGTTTTTAGGGTGACAGATATGGAAGGGCAATTTGCAATCGTGTTTTTTTTTCATTATCGTATAATTCAGTTTTTACCAAACTTTTTGTCTGGGGGCCCACTTTAAAAGAAATGACAAACCATCTCGACCCAATTCGTGCCTTTTCTATAAATCGTGAGGCGAGCAAATTTGTGCGTATGAACGTTCCTGGCCATTTTTACAGCTATTTATCTATAGGTTTAAATTTGCCAAAGACATTTTGGACCAGTAAGTCCATGTTTTCTCGAAGACAGCGTCCAGGGTTTAAATCTCCCTGCTCACCGTTCCTCTTCATGCGCCTGCGCTCTCTGGAATAATGAGTCGGTTTGGCTTCTATTTTATTTTCCTCTTCTTGCTCTACAAAAGCCCGAGTTTGATCCTCGTCGTGTGTTTCGCCATTTACGTTTACATTCATTACAGAACGCGATAAAAAAAAAATAGATACAAATTTGATAATAGCTCGTGATCTCCTCCATTACAAGACGGCGGATGCGTAACGTTATCGCCGCGGTTTCTTTTCAGTTTACAAACACGTCATGAGATATCTCGTCCTTGTCACCGCAGCTCTTGTCTGGCGTCAGTCAGATATGGACTGTGCTGTTCCCGTCCCGGAGGTCGTCCCGAATAACACAACCAAAACACCGGAACGTGGGTAGCGGTTACGTTACCGAGCCGCGATAAGACGCAGGAGATGCTTGATGAGAGCCCGTTATAAATACACAGATAGAGGATGTCTGCAAACGAGCGTTCAACGGGCACAGAGAGGGACTCAGCAGGACAGCAGGTAAGATTTAAAGACACTGATTGTTTTTAATGACCTGCTGCAACAGGTGAAATAACCCAAGACACCTTTAATGTGTGCACGTGGAGACTTTCTATCTTTTGTTACTATTCTACTTATTTATTGGCTCCACTTCCACGCTATTTTAATACACCATATTTGTATATCTTACTTTATTCTACTCTACCTCAGCCAGAGGTGGAAATTAAGAACAATTTGATACGTGATTTAATTTCATATGTGTACTGCAAATACACTACATTTAACTCCACTGCATTTATCTGACAGCTTGGCCAATATATATTTTAAAAACCTTTAATGAGAAGATAAAATGTTTTACACAGCAAATGCAAAAACCATAACAGTATATAAAATATCTGCTTAACGTTAAAATGTTAAATGTCAATGCATCAGTGATGATTAACCAATAATTTAATACATTATAACTTTGACAGAGACCATTTTGCTTGAATAGTGGGTGCTTTTAATTTTGTACTTAAAGTCAATTTAGCACTTCCATACTCAATTGCAGTTTCGAATACTTATAATGGAATAATTAGTGTATCCTACTTTTACTTAAGTAAAAGGTTTGAATACTTGTCCCACTACTGAACGTACCTTATTCTGCTGTGTTCTGTCCTTTATTCCACCATAGTTCTTTATTAAATATAGATTCACCAATCAGGAAAAGTATCTTTAGTTGCAGCCCTTTTCTGTTTAGTATAAAAGGTCAAACTTCTATGTTTACTAGGTTATATTTTTGTAGGGTACTTTTACCACATATTATATTAACTCTGAACTGACTGGAGCTGAGAGTAAATACTTTCTCCCCCCGTGTATAAAGTAGTGTCTTGTCGTCTTCTCACAGACGATACTTGGCAGTGACTCTGCCGGTGTGTTGGGCTCAATGGGTGTCTCACTGTCAGTTTGGCTGTGCAGCAGGGCAGACAGTAGCCCGCTCTCCTCTTCATCAGCTTTCCCTCCTCTGGCTGTCCCGACATCCTCTCGCCTTGCTGTCATTTTGAACTCTCTTCCGGTTGCTCCAGGAGACAGTCGCTCACACTGGAGCTCAGTGCACCGCTCTCCTCACTTCCTGCTGTCGACATGCAAACAGGAAGTGACACGTTCACCTGTTGAGCTGAGCAGCGACGGGGTGAGGGCAGACATGGGGGTGAAGAGTGGGCTTCATGTCTGGGAGTTGCTGTGGAGCCCCAACGCCAGAGGTAGTCACGCCGTCATTGGCATTTCCAGGCAGAGCTGCCCTCTGCAGGCCTCGGGGTACAACGTGCTAATTGGCAGAGACTCACAGTCCTGGGGCTGGGAACTCAAAACCAATCAGCTCTGGCATGCTGGGCAGAGTCTGAGACCTTACCCAGGAACAAGGAGGAGATGCCACTCTGAGGCTGTGGAGGATTTTAGGACACCGTCTTCCACTTCATCACACACAAAGGTGGCACAGACAGCTCTTCCCATCCCTGAGCGCATCCTGTTGGTCCTGGACGCCGACGCAGGGACTCTGGGGTTTGTTGTTGATGGCAGCTTCCTTGATGTTGCTTTCAAAGACCTCCCTCGTGGAGTGGAGCTGTTCCCAGCAGTAAGCAGCGTGAGAGGAGGAGCCAGCATACGACTACGATACCTGAACGGCGCCACGCGTGAGTATCAGGTGTTTACACAGATCTGCTTTGGTTAGATCTGAGTCGTTAAAACACAAACACTTTTTCTTTCCCTCCCAGGTGATCCCCCTGCCTTGATGGCTCTATGTGGACTGTCAATTCGACACATTTTAGGGCAACAGAGGCACACTGAAATGGACAAACTGCCTCTACCCCCTTGTCTCCAGCACTACCTGCTTTCTACTCATTAATGTACACGTATTCATGCACAAGCGCAAACAATAGGAAACATTTTGTCAATCACTGAAGTGTACCAAGAATTTATAGATTTATATATGAAAAAATTATGTACACACATGTTATAGCCAGACAAATGGATATATTGTCTTATTTATTACAACATAATATGTATTTCACTGAGGTTTCAAAGCATTAACAGTGAGCTGGGAGGAATTTTCTTTCTGTTTGTTTCGTTGTGTTTATAATAAATTACTCCCATTGAATTTAACTTTGTCATTATTACTGTTCTACAGTTTTAATTATTTTGTGAATGAGAAAAACATAAACCACATTCAGTAACAAGGGACAAATTATTATAATGAAGAAATAATAAATAATAAAAGAGAGGCATGATTACACCAAACAAGTTACGAAATGGCCAGATTACAGGAAATTAACATTGAGTTGAGGCCCGTTTAGGTCAGAGAGCCTCAGATCTCTGATTTAAATCTTGACATTAAACTCATTTATAAAACTAACATAAAACACATTGATGATGCCTGAAATGACATGAAACGGTTGCTTCTTTTATTCTAAATAATATTATATTTTATATATATATAAATTATATAATAAACAATCACTCGAAACGAAACTATGAATGAATTCAATTTCAGAATGAACCTATATTGCTCAATGATAACAAACTGCATAAATTCAGTTGCATCTTTAATTAAATGAGCATCTGTGGTTAAATTAAAGATGACTCAGATTCTCTGGCTGCTAGCTCAGCAGCTGCCAAATAAAATAAATAAATAACATTTTAATTATAGTGTAGTTATCATGTTTTTCCCAACATCCAGGCTTTAAAGGGTGAGAAGTAGTAAAGACTTTAGAAGTATAAAATAATTACTGCGTGGCAACATCACAAAGGAACTGAGCTGCTCTCCTGAAAACTAACACAAACATTGTCACAGAAGAGCTTATTATCAACTCTACCAACTATTCTTACGCTTCAACATCAACGTTACTATAAATAGTCCCGACCCGTCCTGTAAGTAACTCTTGTATGTTAGTTAACGGCTTTCCATAGATAACTAGACTGTGATTAACGGTATTTAACGTTGGCTAGCTCGGCTCAAGGTAACGGCTAACGTTAGCCGTTAGCTAACGGCCACCGTTAGCTTACTCGCCTAGCTGCCATTATGTTAAATGGCGGCTAACCGTTGTTGGTTGATTTATTACCCTCGACTGCGAACTAGCTAAACAAATGTTGTTCATGCAAGTTCAGTGTAATGATTGTGGTTTTTATAAAGTCAAATGAACTATAAAATCATTAGTTGTATTTGACTGTTCATATCTAGAATGAACTGGTTATGGCAGAACTGGAAAGTCTGAGAGGAGGAGGAGGATTGAACTTTGGTCCACCAGGCATAAATGGAGATGAAGAAGAGGAGGAAGACTCACCTACAGTAAACTTACATGTCACAGTCACACTGGCAGAGCAGTATATACTTGCATCAGTCAGATGCACACTCCTGTATTTTTTGTATTACCAGGTTTTACTGAGTGTTTTAGCCCAGCATGGACAGATGGGCCTCTGCTTCTATGACAGTAAGGACTCCTCTTTACACTTTATGAGAGACACTCCTGACAACTACGACCTCCACCTGCTGGCCAGAGGTAAACAACACACAGAGCCTGTTTCACAAGTTCAGTCTCTTCATGCTTTTCATGTATTTTCAATAGCTCATAAACCATTTTGATGTTTAGAGACTGACATTTGTGCTTGCCTTACTATCCTGTATGTGTCTCGTACCTCTTTTCTTTTCTACTTAGTCCTCCAGGAGGTCAGTCCCCAGGTCATAATTACTAGTGCAAAGCAGGAGCGCTGCATGACACGCTTCCTGCAACAACTTGGTGAGTGCTGAGAGAATTCCAGCATGGGACAGAGAAATATCACACACAGAAAATGTTGTTTTCACACGATATGAAACAAGTAGATTCTAGGTCAAGGGAATGAAATGAGATTAGGGATGCTCGACACCGCAGCCAGATAGTGTGATAAGGGAGAAGAGTGATACAGATATTATACACAGCTTTAAAAGGCTTTTACTGACACAATTATGTCATGTGAAAACACTACTTTAACAATAACTTTCACTCAACATATTTTTGAATTTCTTTTTTTTAAACTTGCCTCTGTTGTATCCCAGGTTCAAACCCAGACTACAAACCAGAGGTTGTTACTTATCCATATGTGGACTTTGGTAAACAGACGCACACCTATAATATCCAATACCCTCATCAATTTTAGGCAGGAATTTATGTTTTTGCATTTAATTAGCATGTTTTTCCCACAATGAACGGATTGATTTTGCAGGTATGGAGGTCGGTAAGCAGAGGTTGCTTTCAGCCCATCTGCCTTTCCTTCCTGCCTCCATTTCAGAGAGAGACAAAATGTCCTACCTCTCCTCCTGTATCTCCTTTGACTCACACCTGATGGTGAGCCAGCTGTCTACACGTCATCCTATCCATCAGTCCATCGATCACAAACTCAAAACACAAAATCATTTTTTTGTGTGTGTGTGTGTGTGTACATCCGTTGGGGTAGCTGAGGGCAGTGGGCGCTCTGCTGAAATGTCTGGACAGGAGGAGAGTGGGAGTGGAGCTGGAAGACAGCAGTGTTGGAGTTCCTATCCTACAGTTCAACGCCTACACGCTGTAAGACAATGTAGCTTTGCACACACACACACACACACAAACACGTAATGGGGACCTTAAAAGAGTTTTGTCAATGAGGGGATGTTTTTTTTACCACTCTGTATTTAGTTACACAGATTTTAGTGTGTTAGCGGTGTGCATTTGTGTCATTGTGTTTCATAGTACATGTACATTTACAGTATTACATTTCTCTGTACCATCTACTCGATGACCATCTTCTGAGATGCAGATGTTTTCGTGAATATAAATGATGCTTCTCTGAAATGTGTGTTGTTTCTTCACAATATAGTAAAGGTGTTGTTTGCATTGACCCGGATACCTACAGGTAAGACTGTTCTCTACTACAAAGATTATCTTTACCCGACATACGCATGTCCCTTAAAGCTGACGCTGATCTCCCAAATGTCTCACTTGTTGTTCCTTGCTCCACAACTAAAACCTATAGTGCAGCTGTTCATCAACATGGACTTTGTATTTGTTTCAGTGTTCTGCAGATCTTCAAATCAGAACTCCACCCATCAGTGTACAAGCTGCATTCTGGGGAAAAGGAAGGACTCAGTCTTTATGGTATGCGGCCCTGAAAGTGGCAAATCAGGACATCATTACTCTCTCTTTCTCTTTGTCTTATCTGTTGGTGTTTACAAGAGATTCATGTTCGTGTTGTGTGTTGTAGGGATCCTGAACCGCTGCAGGTGCAAGTTTGGCTCCAAACTGCTACGGTGAGAAACATCTGTGGTCTTTTTATTAGTCCTTTTTAAATGTTTTGATGTCATTTATCACAACAAAAATAATAATGAATGAACCTTTACTTCATCAAAAGTGAAAATAAGTATTTTATTACAGAAGGCTGTTGTTTCTTTTAGCAAGTCCTCCGTATTAAGTTAAACTAGACTTCACCACCATGCTGTGTAACAGTAGCACCACCACTACTACAACCATTATTTTTTGCATACACACAACATCTGGTTAACTCTGAAGCAGAGATAAGATGTAACGTATACTAGTTTTGTACTATTTGCTTTAAAGCACCATAAGTGGTCGTGGGTTCCTCTCCTCTTTCAGCCAGTGGTTTCTGCGGCCAACACAGGACCTGGCCGTGTTACACAGGAGACAGGAAGTGATGCGTTTCTTTACGTCACCTCGGAACTCCGACGCCCTGAGCACCCTGCAGTCGTCGCTACGCAACATCAGTAACATACCAGTAACTACTCCGACTCATGATCTCTTTTTTTCCTCCAAATCTGTGATCGTTTATCCCTCTACATGCTGTGTGAACTAAGGAATGATGACTGCCTGAAGGTGTGTGTGTGTGCTTGTGTGTGTGTTAGACTCTTCTGCGCAGGATGTCTCTCTCTCACACTAAAGTGTCCGACTGGCAGAGTCTCTACAAGGTTGGAGCAACAGTTTCACCACACACACCTTATATCCGTGTGACAGGGCCTGTTGAATAAATGTGTAAAAAAGTCGCGTTTGTGTGTGTTTGTCAGACGGTGTACAATGTGGTGTGTATCAGGGACACGGTGCGACACCTGCCTCAGTCCATCCATCTCTTTCGTGATATCAGTGAAGGCTTCTCTGATGACCTCCACCACGTTGCCTCCCTCATCAGCCGAGTTGTGAGATTCACGCAAAATGACACAGCTGCAAATCTGGGAAATCTCCTGGCCTTTGTTGCCAGTAGTTCACCATTGTTTTTGCAGTGTTAATGAGTGTGACTCCATCTTTGATTTGTAGGTGGATTTTGAAACCAGCATAGCTGAGAACCGCTTCACCATCAAACCGAACGTAGACCCAGCAATCGATGAGAGTAAGCGCCTCCGTGCTGGTTAAAAAAGGCCTGATCAAATCTCACCGTGTGTTTTTGAGCCTGTGTTGATACGGTTGCATGGCGGTTGATTTAAAGTGTTTAACCATGCTCCCTCCCTCTGTCAGAGAAGAGAAGGATGATGGGGTTGTCTGACTTCCTGACAGATGTTGCCAGAAGAGAGCTGGAACACCTGGACGCTCGCATTCCCTCCTGCTGCGTCATCTACATCCCTCTGGTCTGAGCATCATGTCAACACAGCTATCTTTCATTAACATTATCTAACATTTTTATTTAGTCATCTGGCTTGAGCCCACATTGTTTACTGTATAACTGGTGGAAACACCCGGGTCAATGTGTCATTATTTAATTCTCCTTACAGATTGGATTCCTGCTCTCTGTCCCTCGCCTGCCCAGCATGGTGGAGAAAGAGGATTTTGAGATAGAGGGGCTTGATTTTATGGTTTGTGTATGATCTTGTCAACATTTTTTTTTTGTTTGTGTTCTTCAAAATCACAAACACTCATGTGCTGTAATACTGTTTTCCTTGCATCTATGTGGGCTAGTTTCTGTCAGAGGACCGTCTGCACTACCGCAGCCAGAGAACCAAGGAGCTGGACGACCTCTTAGGAGACTTGCACTGTGTCATTAGAGGTCCTTTTACCTTCTTACTGATGGAAAACTTTCACCTGACAGCTGTGTACCTGACATTGAAGGCTTTCATGATCTTACACTTTCTGTTTTTCAGATATGGAGACGGCAGTGATGACACAGTTGCAGAGCGCAATCCTTGAGAGGAGCGCCTCGCTCTACAAGGTCGGTGTGCACTTCCAGGTCCCAGCGTTTGAAACATGACTCTGATGAAATGATCGTGTGCATGAAAGTAATTGTTGTCAATCTGTGCAAGTGGAGTTTGTTCTGATTAGCTAACATCTGTTCCTGGTGTGCGTTGTGTTGAACATGTTGATTATGATCCCATTAAGACTTATTTTGGAGTGGTGTTTGTCTCGTGACAGATGGCCGCGCTACTATTGCAGATTTTATTGTTATTTTTGAGGGCAGAATGAGTATTAAGTTCAGATGATGAATAATTGTGTTGACAATATTCTAGCTGTGGTTCAAATGTTGCAGCTATTTTTGCAACTAAGCAATTAAATTAATCTTTTTTAAACAATGAGTTTCCTAATAAAAACTGATCGCGGGGTTGTGCAACAAACACACAAATAAAATGATCGCACTGCTCCTGCAACACTTCTTTGTCATTCATCTGTATGGTCAATGGGTTCCAAATACTCACATTTCCCACCAAAACCTGACTAAACACACAGCTTCTGTCTCTTTTGTACATGTACAACCAACACTCTTAAGTTTGGGATCACTTGCTGCTCTTTCATTGGTCAAAACTTCTCTGCTCAGGGCCGTCCGGATGTTAAATGTGTGTGCTGTTGTAGGTTCTGGATCTCACTGCCGAGCTGGACTGTCTGATGGCCATGAGCGCCGCCTCCCAAGAGTACGGCTACACCTCACCCAAACTGGCCAGCCACAGAAAGATAACAGTTACACAGGGCAGGTAGGCACTCACGCGCTAGATGGAAACAAGTACCCAGGTATGCTCATTCTTCATGTAATGTCAAACTTTTCATGAAAGTATCATGTCATGTAAGCTAATCTCACATTGATTGCTTATCACACACACACACACACACACTGAAACCTGGAGTTCTTATTTGTGATGACATTGCAGTACAGGACTGATAGATGTCTGTATTCTGCGATTCTCTAGACACCCGCTGTTAGAGCTGTGCTCTCCTGTGTTTGTGGCCAACTCCTTCCAGAGCTCAGAGTCGCAGGGCAGAGTCAAGATCATCACCGGGCCCAACTCGTCTGGCAAGAGCATCTACCTCAAACAGGTGGGACGGTCAGAACAATACACAACAGGCCCCATGATGAACTGCTTCTGGTCTTGACTTGCTGTGATATGCTCTACCTTTTGTGTAACTGTGACACTGTCTGTTTCTACATGTGACCCAGTTTGTACATGTTTCAGTTTCCTGTCCACTTCAAATGAACTTGTCATTTGATTTCTTTTTTTTATTGCTTATCTTTTGCTACGCCCGGTGATACAGCAAAACTAATAGAGAGTTTTTTCAGAAACAAAAGACCAGTGACGCGTGGAAAAGTGGGAGAGAATACTTCTCTGCATAATTACACATAATCTGCGTTCAACATCTGTTTCTTCAGCGCCTATAGCTGCACTAGATAATAGTAACCTCAGCATTCAGCTGACATGATGTTCAAGATTTCCCCTTCTCCGAACTATCTAACTTATTAATTACTGGTATCAGAAGAACCCTTGAAGCTGTCCTTTACAAATGAATCAGAAAACCCATTCAGAGCGCCGTAATTAAGCGTGACAATGAGGTTTCTTAATGAGAACGTCTTCATTTTACACTCCATTAGGAGGAGCTCTGACTTCTAGGCTGATGTGACTCCACTCCCACTTGTTTAAGTTCACACCACAGCCCCCCTTTCACCCAACCACTGCCTTGTTCTGATTTGACTTTGACAGGTGGGTCTGATCGTGTTCATGGCTCTGATTGGCTCAGACGTGCCTGCAAAGGAGGCAGAGATCGGTCTGGTGGACGGGATGTTCACCCGCATGCAGAGCAGAGAGTCTGTGTCTGTTGGCCTCAGCACCTTCATGATTGACCTCAACCAGGTACCTAACACACACTCACACACACACACACATTTATGCACACAAGCTTGTGTGTGTGTGCGCATGTGTGTGTGTGTGTGTGTGTGTATGTGTCAGTGTGTGTGGGTGAGGAAATAAAAGATGTGAACTTCCAATGCTACTGTCCTCCAGCTCCACTCCCACTCTCCACCTGTCAAGACATTTTTATGAAGCAGCTACTGCCTACAGCCATCACACACACTCACACACACACACTCACAATAAAATGTCGTATAACACATTGTGTCTCTGTTCTCCAGATGGCCCAGGCTCTCAACAGCAGTACGGGCAACTCTTTGGTTCTCATCGATGAATTTGGAAAGGGAACTAACACAGTGAGAAAAACTTGTTTGTGAATTAAGTACATATGTATACACGTAACAAGGACACACAGTGTCATTATTGTGAGGCGCCTGAAACCAAATCCAGTATTATCCACTTTAGAGCTGCAGCACGAACAGACCTTCGGGTCAGCCCAACATGTGCCACCTATCAGCAAGAAAACAGCAGCAGCTGTTCAGACCAGCAGATATTGAGGCATTAATGTGCGCCATCTACACGCAAAAGAAGTAATGCAATTTTGAATATAGGTTCATAAATACTTGTTGGCAGCTATATTTCCTGCTGGATGCTAGGAGACATTAGAGTTCACTCTGAGTAACATCATGTACGCTGTCCTCCATCACTGTGTGCCAGGTTACTCTGGAGAGGGACGGACGAGGTCCAAACCAATTTCATTTATCTTAAAAAGAGATACAGATGTGGGAGGCAGAGCCGAGAAGAAAACAATAAAAGAAAATGACTAATGTGGGTTAAATAAGTTCTGTCTTAGCTTGTTAACAACAAATAATGAAAGCAGCTATAATCAATATTTAGATTAGCTGTTTTTAGCTAAAACCCCAATGTGCACTGCTCAGCACCAATCAGCAGACAGACACAGTTAGAGACAAGCTGGTGAAGATAGTGAAGCATTTATCAGCTCATGAGTCAGATATTTCCCTCAGGTGCAGGTAGAGACCAAAACCAGACCTAAATCACTGACTTTTATATTCGTCAGGTGGTTTGAAACAAATGAGTAATAATAATGCTGCAGATCTGTAACTGCTGTCAACTTTAAAGGCGATAATATGTCAATGCTGTGTCCACAACTTGTTTTCACTGCTCCATGTGGCCAAATAAAATGTGTTTACATTTAAGCAGCTAAAGCTTTCCTTGCCTGTACGTGGTGACATGTACCATTTAACCACAAGGCCTGCTTATTTTTTTTTTTGCATATCACGCCTTTCTGTTTTTTTACTGTACACTATCAGAAGGCAAAATTTTTTTATCCAGAGAACAATAGGCAGGAACGTTCTGTTAATTGGTTTATTCGTGGCTCCAACTCAATCTCATGCTATCAAGGGTTTGTGTAAGAGAGCTTAATCTGCATTAAGACTGTCGAGTTCGACCTGTAGAAGCTTCGTCCTCGCTCAGAAACACAACTGTTTATTGTTCCCCCTCAGGTGGACGGACTCTCTTTGTTGGCTGCCTCGATGTCTCATTGGCTGAGAAAACCTCCGGTGGATGTTCCTCATGTGCTGTTGGCTACTAACTTCCACAGTTTGCTGCAGCTGGCCCTGCTGCCCTCCTCTGGCCTGCTGTCTCTTCTGGTACTGACAGATACTCGACTGAGCTTTAGCATTATGATGACGTGTAGCCTGAAGCATTTTGTGACTGTGTTCAGTGACAATAAACTGATGTGCTGCAGGAAACTTCCAAATGACCAACTAGCTAATGAGACACTTTTTTACCTCATTAGACGTTTATTTTATTGTGTATGTGGTTATGTATCAATGTGTGTGTGTGTGTGTGTGTGTTAGACTCTAGAGACAGCAGTGGACGGGGATGAGTTGGTGTTTCTGTACCAACTGAAGGAAGGAATCTGCCAGTCCAGCTATGCTGCCAACATCGCTACACTGGCAGGCCTGCCAACTAGCCTCGTGCAGAGAGGAGTGGAGGTAAACACACACACACACACACACACACACAGACACGCAGAAGCATGCTCGCATAGACTAATTGTCTGTGTGTGTGTGTGTGTGTGTTTGATCAGGTCTCTGAACTGTACAGGACGGGCAGGCTTATCAAGCGTATCGACAAAGCATCGTCGGATGAGCAAGCGAACCGGTTCGTTAACCTCCAGCTACACAGAATGACAAACCAACACAAGAGAGCAGTGTATGTGAAACTATTTTTTATGGGTGTGACCGACAGGTGCAGGTCTTTGGTGGAGGCGTTCCTGAGCCTCGACCTGGAGGACACAGAGTTGGACCTTCAGCACTTCATGAAGGAGGAGCTCCTGCCCTCTGCTGGGGAGCTGCTGAACCGCAGCTGAACTGTTCTGCTGCAACCGCAAACATGTTTCTGCAGCTCTGTGGTCAGTTTGTTCGTTCACTGTTGACGGTTTTCAGCTAGTTTTGGGAGAGAGCTAACTGATGCTCCACCTCTACATACATGACAAGAATTATATTACAGTCTAACATTTATTCTACTGCATGGGTTTTTCGGTTGAAGTACCACGTTAAATATGGTACAAACAGATGTTCTCTTTGGTTGGATTCAAGTCTTTCTAAAATAATTAGTTGATGCCAAAGAAGTATTTTCTAGTTATGTAAACAAAATTGTGTAAAGCTTTTGACAACATAAATAAAAGCGGCTTGTTTACTGTGATCCTGTTGAGGCTTCAGAGAGGTACCAGGTAGTCAGCACAGCCACGGTCAGATATAAAAGTGTGGCGGTTGGAAGTTTGTGCGCCGAGTTGCAGAAGGAAGTGTCGCAGCAGTATTTGGTCATGACAAAGATGGTGTTGTTAGAGAATAGCTCCACGGTGGTCTCCAGATCACACTCGTATGCCTTCACACATCCCAAAGTCTTAACGTCCAGAGTGTCCGCTGTGAAGACAAGACGGTGGTTGTCAGTTCAACATCTCTCGCCACATTTCCCCCACTGTGGGGCTAATAAAGGATCATCTCATCCAACACACCTGCCTTCCCTCGGCCCGTGTAGCAGCGCTCGCCGACGCTGCACTTGGTTTCGGTGGTGTAGCAGGTATCCCAGAAGCCCAGGTCACAACGGAAACACTCCAGCAACTTCTCATCCTCCTCAAATCCCACTGACTCCATGAGCTGCTTTAGCTGCTCCTCTTCCTCACCTGAGTCGAAGAAACAGCACAGAAACAGGACAGTTTGATACAGCAGTTAAGTTTTAACGGCATGAATCTGGACAGAACATATGTTGCCAAATGAGAAAACCACAACAAGATAATTGTTTAATTGTTGTTTTGCAAGAAACACCCAAGATTGCAGAATACTCACTTATTAACGGTTTAATGGATGAACAGCTTTGAATTATTCAGATTTCGAGGCATTTACGTAATGTGTTGTTGGACACATTAATTATTCAGGGGGTGCTGAATGTGTGAAAGTGTTGGAGCGCTGTTGAAGGACATCAAGCCAAACTGATGAGCCACATTCTGCCGAATACCCTGAGAATCTCCGAAATATTTTGTTTATTCTGCAGCAGTCTGGAATGCGTTCCTTTGAGTGGATGACTTGTGTTTTTCAGGGGCAGGGTCCATCTCTTAGGGCTGCATCGTGTTTTTATTAACCAGACAGATACTGGAGTTAATAGAAAGAGTTGGCAGCAGAACGTCGTGCGGGGAGTGGGACAAACCCTTCTTATTCCTAGCACAATGTACTGCACAAGCCCTCACAGCAACATCACCTGTGTCGCACGTTGACGCTTGAAAATGCAAGGAGGCTTCTTCCTACAATTAATAATTCAGTGGCAGTGTGAAATATGTGACAACGCACAAAAAGTTTTCTAACTGTTTATCAAATGTAACTGGAAAAACCCCCTTTTTCAAGCTCACGCTCTGCCGGTTTATGTTCAAATAACTGTGGAGACAGCATATTTGGACACTAAAACGTGATTATCCTCGTAGTTTTTGATGTCACAGCATCTCTCTGAGGCGTTTAGCTTTGGAGCTTTTGAGAGCACAGCTAGTTGCCATATTGGCTGGCCTCAGTGCTCCAGGAAAAAGGCTAATCTCCTTCTCGGGGCCTTAAGATGAGTTTCAGTCAGACCACCAATCCTTATCCCCTCTCATCTTGTTAGCTAATGCTAGCTCAGGTGGACGAGCAGATGAAAGAGTAAGTTGGGTTCATTATGAGGAGAGCTTACACTTCCTAAATCTGCACTCAGTTGCCAGTTTATCTAACCATTGCAGTCTAATGCAACCCCCCTGCAGTAAATCATACCCCCGTGATCATGTTTTTCGTGCTCAGTTCTTGCTGACAGAGGTTTATATTGAAAAGCATATGTACATTTTGGAGAATAAAGTTGGTGGTGCTGTTGAACTGTGTTTATATATTTCCTTCACCACATTTATGGAGCAGGTGTGTGAGGGTTAGTGGTGCAACGGATCATAAAACTCTGATCACAGATCGGATCAGCACAAAAGATAAAAGGGAGCAAAAATAACTTTTTTTTACCGCCGTTACTAATTGACAATAATTGGTGACTCGTATTGGCAGATAATGATCCCTTTGTTGTTTGATTAAAGCAGCTGGTCTACAAGGCTCCAGACTATTGTATTTTACTTTGCCACCATCCCAAAAATCATTTCAACCGCTCTGAAGCCAGTAAACCATCAACAATTCTGAATGTTATCCTTTTACTTTGCTATAGTAATTTATTGTGTGTTTTTTCTTTCACAAAAACACACAATTCAAATGATAAGGAAATAAAAGATCGTATTTGTATTGATTAAAACAGATCTTGTCATGAGTAGTTTTAATGATGTATCATGAGCTGCTTAGAGCTTATTGTAAACAGGTCATAATACATCTCTAATATCTATTTATGTTGTTGTGAAAACATCATCTTTAAACCACTGGATTTATTCAAGGTTCTTACCTAAAGTACATTTTACGAGATTACATGTGAACACATCATGATGTGTTATAATTTACCTTCGCCTAATACTCATCTTCACTGAACAGAGCCTGAACGCATCATAGTATAACAGAACGGAACCTTCGTTCTCCTGTTGGTTTAAACACGGACTGGTTGTTACAATGTAATATTATCAGAGACCGGCGAACACAAAGCATGAATGCAGATGTCCTGATGGCATATTTGACTCAATAATGGCGGCTAACGATCGTCCGTCAAACTTTATTTCTCACTGTGATGATTAACGTAGCGTGATTATCCGCACGTGTGATCTGCACGGATCCCGGATCAGCTGTTAGACCACGAGGACGATTACACTGCAGCCTCCAAAACTACTGTTCAATAGTTTAAAGCAGTTCCAACAAAAACGGAACATTATAACCTTCGTGAATTTAGGATTTATCGCACAGCTGCAAAGCTTAATCGATCCGCAGAAACTATTATGATGACCAATTCATCTTTTGAGTCATGTTTCAGGCCAAAAGGCTAACTTTTACTTTATAGATTTAAGATTAATAGATTAATCAAGAAAAGGATCAGAAGTTTAATTAATAATAAAAAATAATGATTAATTGCAACCCTATTTTATTGCAGGGCTGTTGTATTAGACAGTGTGAACTTTAGATAAAATAGATATTTCACAAATCAAGAGGCCCAATTATTTGAAATTAACATTAATCAGAAGATAATTAATAATTTTATGAAATACGCAATAATCTGTTGCTCATGAATAACGGTCAACCAGAAATAAGTATGCTTTTTTTTAAACATAAAAGTTCTAGTATCAACAATGTAGTAGAACAGAAGACGCTGCTGAGGTTCACCTACTATAAAACATCTTACCTTGAGCAGGTGTGAGCATCATGATGGCAAAAACACCGAATATTAGTCCTTTCATATTGAGCGGAATGCTTCTTCCATTGACTGCACCATGAGGTCTGTCGAGGAAACCGTAAATTGGATTAGATCAGGAATAGACCTGGTATTTGTCCTCACCTCACAGCTGCTAAAAGGCTGAAGGGAAGATGGTCGAACAACCAACGTTGGGGGGGGGGGGGGGGGAACAGCTGCAACTTAGAGAATCCCGAGGGGTGGAATGTGGAGTCTCGCCACACTTCATATCGCCTTTAGTGTCAGAAAATGTCATTTGGTTTATTAGCTTCTTGTACCAGAAGATACACCAACGTGAATGTTACATATAAAACCAAGCTGGTAATTCATCCCTCTGTTTTCATGAGGTACTGAATGCCAGATGTAGACAAAGGTTAAAGCTCCTCCTATGTGGTGGAAAACATTTCCGTCATCCAGCTGATACGTCTCACTTTTTTTTTTTTTTTCAAAGACTTCTTAACTGAATCTCACTTCCAGCTGTAACATGTAAAGTCTGGGAGTTCAAAAAAACACTTCTTTAAAACTGGCATTTTCCAGATGGCTGATCCTCAGTCACTCAGTTCATATAAATACATGTTCCTCTATCTCTTAAGGAACAGAGGGTGTCCTGAGTCAGCGCAGGGTTAAGCAGCTTACAGCCTCCCTTCCATCTGTATAGATATGTATCAACACACATCACAGTAATCTCTCGGGGGGGGGGGGGTTGATTCAGTTATATTCTCAATGCAGCAAAAAAAAAACGTGTTGGTAAATGATGTAACAGCACTGTTGTACACCTCAGAGATGCCTTGTATTCTCAGTTGCTGCAGTGCTGTTGAGCATGTGTGTAACGACAGTGAAATACTCTGGTCAGTTTAATGTCAGATTCAAAGAGCATCGATAACTGAGAAATCAAACTATAAGCCACATGGATATGAAGACACAGGAGCAACATTATCCCTGGCACTGACAGAGCTGAAATGCACAGCAGATTAATCATTTTTAGCCATTTTTCTTAAGCAATGTGAAGACTGTTGTAGTTTCTGACTGTTGTGCAGCCGAAAAATCAGCTTGAAACAATTTAAAGACTGTTGACAACTTTATAATCATTTTGGGGGGATGTAGTTTGTGGTGATGTGGCGTCTTTTTTTTTTTTTTTTTTTGCCGACCCTCTTTGACCACAAAGTTGGATCAACACCTCACTAAAACAGTAACCTTCATGAAGATGGGATTCACTGCAGGACTGGTGAGTTACACCGCATTAGATTGGTGAACCCAATAAACTGGCAGAAAGATTTGACAGTGAATCTGCAGATGAATCAGTCACAACCTTTTGGTTGCAGCTCTGACATCCGTGCAGCTCTTTCCCTCTAAATGCAAACACATCAGAGTGAGGACTCCTGTATGTGTGAAAGAGAGAGAGAGAGCTGCTTTTCCGAGCGATAAGCGCGAAGGAGGCTGCTTGCAGCTTGTTGCAAGATTCAGTGACAATTCAGACACATCTCCCCGACTCATACCTGCTACTAAAATCCAGCATCTTAAAACAGCATAATGTACCTGCACACAACCTTCAACTGAGTGTGTGTGTGTGTGTGTGTAACAGAGCGATGGGTGCTGTTTTTTTAGTGAGTGAAATTAATGGTTGCAAATTAGTAAACGCTTCAGTCTCAGTCGTCATCTGGATGGCAGGATCCCAGCATGAGCCCAAACAACAAGGAAATACTCTGCAGTCCTAAAGCACCTATAAAAACTCTCAGACTGATCCCCTGTGTAATTAGAGGCTGGAGGAGAAAATGCTGGTGATAATTAAAAACTTAACTCCTTTACGTCTCAGACTGTTCAAACAATCTTGCTTTTGCTTAATTGTGGACCCGGTAACATTTTTCTCTGCATTGTTTTTGCTTTATTTTTCAGAAACCAAAGATTGAGATAGAGGACCGGGGGGTGGGGGGGTATTTGAATAAAGCGTAGGAATCAGATGATGAAGCGAGAGGAGATGAAAGGTCGGGATGGTGGGAGAGTGAGGCTTCAGTTACACGACTCATAGGACCGCTTTTCTCAGTTAAAGCTGCGTCAGAAATAACTCACAACAGCCTCACCAGATTTAGATTTTTTTTTTTTTTTTTCAGTCATTGCTCTTTTCTTTCTTTCCACAATCTGATTAAAATTCTTTAAGATCTCGCCTCACCACTCGGGAGAAGGGAGGGAACTGAACAGCTGACACTGAATTTAAAAATCAAATGAATTACAGTAAAACACTGGAACTCAAGTCCACTCTTGCATGTGTACAGAGCAGCAGCTGGTATTTATAGCGTGGCTGTAGGTGTCGAATGAGAGGAGTGCGGCCTTGTGTGCTCCCCTTGTTTATACCGAGACACAATTTGCTCAGATAAAGAGCAGATAACAGTGTGTGTGAGATTAGATAAAGACGCATTTAAGACCTTATCTGGCTCATCCTCTTAACCAAACCTCTCCAGCAAGGAAATGTAAACGATCTGTGTGTGTGTGTGTGTGTGTGCGTGTGCGTGAGAGAGAGAGGGAGGGAGTGAGTGAGTGTGTCCATCTCCCAGTACGGCACCCAAATAAGTTTTCAGCAACCCTCCTCACGTCCAAATATGGTCAACCGAGCAGTGGCTGTTTAGGATTTTTTCTGGCAGGGGTGAGTTCAAAGACAACAAGATGGCGAGTTGACATCAAACATCATAGTCACGATCTTTCAAACGTGGGTGAGTCAGAGACCGATGTGGGACAAAAACACCCTTCACAGACAGTGACTCAGAGCCACTAAAACCGAGAAACATGTCATCTGTTTATTGAGGAATGCATAGTCTCGTCTTAAGTGTGTGTCTGCACGTGAAACTTCCAAATGAATCTCATCATGCATATTTTATGAGACAGTGGAAGTTGAACCGGTGGGACGTTCAGTGTTGAGGAAAGCCTGTCCGTATGTTGAAGTCTATTTCACTGGAGTTGCAAGAGTCTGAGCGGACGGAGGAGTGGGAGACGGACGGGCAGGGGGAGGGAGGGGGAGGGGTTGGCTCCTGGTGGTGCAGAACTTGGGCCAGTAGAGTTGCCCTTCCTTCCTTCTCCTCCTCCTCCTCCTCCTCCTCTCTATCTCTACCTCCTGCATCCGAAGGAGGCGACTGTGAAGGCCTGCTGCTGATGTTGTGTGTGTTTCTGTGAGATGGAGGAAGAGGAGGACCACAGTTCTGGTCCGAGAGGGGGAGTACGTGGGTCGGAGCAGCCCAGGATCCCTGCTCCCCATCCTGACAGCTGAAGCTGGGCAGCTCCTGCGAGTCCTCCCAGCCGTCTCCTCCCTTCAAATCCTCAAGGTCCTCCGGTGTCTCTCGTCGGAGGACTTCCAGGTCCCGGTTCTCGTACAACAGCGTGGCTGCACAGATGAAGATGAACAGGCCCACTCCCATGACCACGGGCCCGGCCAGCTTCATCCTCTCAACGTGGGTGCTGCCTCGGGCGGCCGCGACGGGCTTCGGAGCTGCGGACACGTAGCCCGCCACCGCGACAGCCATCCCCACCAAAACCACCACGGCGCCCAGCAGGAGCCACACACCTGGGGCAGAGCGCAGGTGCAGTTTGGTCTGGAGGGCCTTGCCGCTCCTCAGGTGTCTGCGGCATGCCGGGAGGCAAACGGGTGATGACTGGGAAGAGAGGGAGGATGCGGGGCTGCAGACAGGATCGGCTGCCGTCATCCTCTGGCTTCAGACTGAACACAGAAGAGGAGACACGGGAAAAGAGGACCAAGAGCAGAAATACACAAATGAAGTCACAAAGTGTTGCATAGGGGGAGAGCACAGGGGGTGTTGGGAGGGAAGATAGTTTAGTCTGCATGGCACACAAGAGGAAATAGCTGCTTTAGTAAGACATGTGGCGGAGTTAATGAGATGCCAACCTCTCTGCAGCCCCTCCAGTGTCTCTGTGGAGCCACTCAGAGACTCCCCACTCTCTCCACTCTCTCCACTGCCCTGCAGCAGCTTCTCTGAACTGAACTGTTATCGAAACACTCATTCACCACCACGGGAATAAAGAGACGACCGATCCCTCTCAGGAACCGAATGATTTCACTTAGCATTCTCACTGCAGTCATGAAAACAGAGTCACACCACTACGGTAATTGCTCCCACTGAACTCGTGATATAATCCCCCCCCCCCGCGGCGAGTGAACACAGCGCGATTCAACAGGACGCAGACGGAGACGACACATTGCTGTTTTATAAGTGCTTTTACGCATGCATCTTTAATGTTATATTTAAATTCATGATGCTCGGCAAACACTGTTGCTGACTACAGCAACTCACTGCGGTTCACTACTTTAACGCAGTCAAATCAAATTGTGTACTTGCCTTGTTTTGGACGTATATCCGAAGCAGAAACTGGCTCATCGGCATCGTCAAAATAAAGAACCCCGAGTTGTGTTAAATCCAGACTTTCAACGTATTCTTACAAACATTAAGGCGTTCTTCATCTCTTTTCTTTTACTGTGTGAGCCGCTGTGCAGCGCAACAGCGGGCACTGCGGAGCTTTTATAATAAATACAGTCTTACTAAAAAAAAAAGTGGTGCAAAGCCGCTCTTCCTCTCCGTGTCCTCGCTGCTTGTGCGCCTCCGCAGCCTGTGTTTTGATTTGTCTCCGTGTGAGCAGAGGAGGGGTCGTGGGAATCTGTGGCTGGCGCAGGCCAGTCCCACGGTGAGCCCACTTATTCTCAGTGATATATATGGGGTTATATATGGTCCTTACAAATCCTGTATACATTATATACATACATATATATATATGTATGTATATATATATATATATATATATATATATATATATACAGTCAATATGTGAGTATTTGTGCATTTGTGTTTAACAAACATAATATATGCACAAATGCATACATATGATATGATATAGGCCTACAATTTTTCTACCGTTCCAGGCAGCCATTATGGTTTCCATTACATTCTGTATGGTATGAAAACTAAATGCCAGATACTTCATTTTTTCTTAAATTTAAAGAGGAACTCCAATTAATTAAATGTTTATGTTAAATTAAAGTATTGGGGAGTTCTAGAGCAGAAAAGTTGCATAAAACCTTTAGTGGTTTCAGAGGTAGCTGCATGCGGAGGTCTGGTATATTGCCTCAAGTGATGTCACTAGAGTCAGTGTCAGTCGGGGCTGAAGACTCACTCTAACTCTGGTGTGTCGCATGTTTAAAATCAGCATGAGCCACAATGACAGAAAGACAGCCTTCATTTAAAGTTATAATTGAAGTTCAATAAAAATCCACAATTAAAAGTTTTTCTAAGTTAAACAAATGGCTGACTTTCCAACATAAATCTGTATTTATGTTTAATAAACATAAATAAATCTCAACACTGACATATTGACCAAGATAATTAGCTTGAGGCTAGCCACTCGAAGCTACATGAGCCGCTACTAGCATCAAATACCCGAATCTCCGAACAAACTGTCAGCTGTCGAGTTGCATTGTGGGTAATGTTGGCAAAAGGTTCTGACATAGAAGAAGAATGTTTGGAATAAAAAAGAGAATATCTCTGGTTATGCTGCATGGTTGTTTTTCTTAAAGCTGTCTGTGAGTCCGACAATGCTCAAGGAGCTCAATGCTACTTCAGTGTAGTTGTGAAATCTATCTCAGTCCAGGCCCACGTGTATCTACGACTCTTGTGGTCGTCACAGCTCAGTTTCCGGCAGCAACATCAGTTCTTTCAGCTGTCAACATCAAAAGCACTTCATCATAGAGGCATGGAGCATTTTTTATTCAATGTTGCTATATGGTCACGGCCCTCAAACTCGCTGGTTGTGTAGTTGTCATACATGACCCACAATCCACTATACTGTGTGGGACATAGTGTGTTTTGGCTACACCGGGCCTCTAAGCAACAAGCGGAAACTCACCTTCATGCTGGTTAGTGGTGTATGTTTATGTGTGCCATATTTGTTGGCCCATGAAACCAGAAGAAGTTATGCTACATACAATTGTTTTTAATACTTTTCTCTATTCTTTGTGTTTTTTTGTGAAATGTTTCACTTAACTCCTTCTCGGGGCCTCAAACTGTTATTTAAATGAAACCACGTGAGAAGTTTACAGGAAGAATCAACTCAAACCAGAGAACCGGAAACTGTTTATTTGAAACATGGGGCACAAGCCGAAAAATGTTGATGGGAAAACAAGGTCATGATAAAATCTTAATTTGAAAAATAACTTGCAGGCCTGACAAATAACTTCAGGAGAGTAAAAAGGGCAATTCCACTTTGAATCTTAGTGTTGCACAAAATGGAAATATTCTATACTTTCCACCACTCACTTTGATGATTAACTTTTACACAAACAATATGTCCAAAAAGTGCTAGCAATTCAATTTTAAGAGTTACTCGCACACCAACAGCTCTTCGAGTACACAGAGTGAACTCCATCCGCTGGTAAAGAACCGCGATCCAGTTAAAAGCTAGTAGCTGGACCTTGAGTTGTGATTGTTTCGGCAAACTACTGTACCTAAAAATTGCATTGAGTACTTGAGTGAGTGTGTTTTCCACGACCGTAAAGAAGTAAACAAAAACAGTTACAGACCACAGTTTGAGATTAGGTTAAATGAGGACAGCAGACAGTGTGCATCTCATTTATTTTCACCCGTTCACACACTTTCCACCAAACAGCCACAGCTTACCTCGGAGCCAGAAACAGCGTACCGTTACCCTTTAAATTAGAATACATAAATAAAAGCCGTTTGCATATAAACAGTTGCTGATGTACACATTCCAACTCGCTGAAGTACGCGCTGATTTACAAAGACACTGACAATGTTTGTTTTGTTTCTTTTTTTCTCAAAATCTTTGTATGAATTGAGGCTCGTATTTTTCAGTTCACCGTCACAAAGTCCTTCCCCGTGGACAGACGTCAAGCCTTTGCATAACCGAGCAGGAGTAAACTCTGTCAGGGACAGTTCTTTTGTAGCAGTATACTATTTACAATGTTAATGAACCAAACAAAAACAATATCAACAAAACAACCAAAAAGCGGTTTGTTTTAACATTCATGTTCATGTGCCGTTCCCAAAAGCATCGAAGCAGATAAAAGAAGAACAGAGCTAGTTTGTTGTCTCCTTCCACCTTAAAAGACTGCACGTTTCCTTGATTCAACATTTAGCCCTTAACCCTGCTCGTTCATTTGACCAGAAAAAGCACCACACACACAAGCTGGTGGGAGATAACATCCTCTCTCTCTCTCTCTCTCTCTCTCTCTCTCTCTCTCTCTCTCTCTC